ATTACACTTCATTCTGATGGATAAAGAGGACTTGATCACAAGATGAACAGTCAATTGAAAAGGATCTTTATTCTATTTGCACAAAACAAATGTAGTCGAGTCCTGGTATTTTTGGTGCTGTGAAAGGACAGATTTCACAAATTTGAAAACTATGTTTTCTCATCTGGGTGGAAGAATTTAAACAAAAAATATGAATGATGCTGGTGAGCTATATAACAATATATATAGCTGTTCAAAACAGCTACAGACCAGAAAGGAAGTTATACTAATTTAAAAAACCCCAGCAAACAGCACAATTGGAAACAAACTCCCCAAAGACTGAAAACTACCTCAGCTTCAAGCATTTTTCCTTTCTTCTCACTGGCAAATGGAGAAGCTGATAGCAGTTAATGTAAGCTGAAATTCAGAAAGTAGGTGTAGATAATAGGTGTAGGTAACAAAAGGGATATATGGTTAGCGTAACTGAGGGCAATAGGAAGTTACCTTGCATGTATAGCACAAATACAAAAACCAGTAACAAGAGTATTGGTCCAATACTAGATAGAGATGCTGTAAGTATCAAGTATCAGCAGAAAAGGCAAGAGTGTTGCACAGATATTCTGCTCTGTGTTTGGGGAAAAGCCAGGTACATTCAATCAGATGATGAAATGGCTTTCATTGACAGTAGCTAATGAGGATGTTAAACAGTAGCTATTAAAGTTAGACATTTCACAATTGAGAATTCAGCTTAAGCTGCGTCTAGGATTTTTTCAAAGAGCTGGTCCATGAGTGCTGTTAATGTTGATTTTTTAATAAATCCTTTAAAACTGGGAGGGTTCCAAAAGACAGCAAGAAGCTAACTTTGTGCCAGTACTTTTAAAGGCTAAGTGGCATAACATGAATAATTATAAGCCTGACATCGATCAGTGGAAAATATTGCATAGCTAACAGGAGGTTGACTAATATTTATTATTCATAAGTATTAATTATCATTAATATTATTCATAATTCAGCCCCATGTTAGCTAATAAATTTAAATGGGTCAGTGAAATTAAAGCTGATCTGTATGTTTATTGATTTAATCAAACTGAATATAATTTTTTAAAAGATTATCAATTAGCTTGACAGGGGTAATGATGTGGAGGTAAGAAACTCTTAAGAATATTTGCCTTGGCTTCATATGTCGGCCTGGTTACATCATCTGAATTATGCAAAATCAAGGTTAGATTTGTTACCATCTGTAAGTACCAGCAGTTAATCAGACTAACTATAGTCATGCTGCGTGACTGAAAATTGAAGCCAAATAAATTCAGGTTAGAAATAAGGTACATATGTTTGTGGGGAACAAGGTCATGGAAAAAATTCTCCATCCTGGATGTTTTTAAAGGAAAATCTAGTGTAACTAGTTAGGGCACTAAATGTGGAGAGTGAGGAGGAGCGCCAGAAGCAGCAGAGGCAGTGATGGGGAGTTAGTTCCCCCTTCCTGCCGGTCTGCATGCACTGGCAGCACTTCTTTCCCCATTTTCTTATCACATTACTCCCCTAACTCTGCAAACAAAGGCTTTCTGAGCCGGGTACGGCCCCGCTGCAGTGGCACGCACGCTGCAGCTCTGGAGCAGTGGCAGCAGCAGGTGCTGAGCTCGGCAGTGAGCAGTGGTCAGCCGGGATTCTGTAAAAGGTGAGAAAGGATCATCGCAAGGGGTCTTCTGCCTTCTAGGGGTCATTTTTAGGTATTTCTGAGCTATTCATCGAAAGGCAGGTGTCCTGTCCAACATACCAAACACAGACAAGGTGGCCCAGTCCTGGGAGAAACAGGATCTAGGTCTGGGTTTTGGGCCAAGCCCCAAGAGCCACGTCGCCTTCCCGTGCTCTCCTCAGCCCCCTCACCTCTGCGCCAGAGGGACGAGGAGCAGCTGCCTAGTTCCATCGGGGACGTGGGGAGGCCCTCCACTATTCCAGCAGCCTTCCCTTCCCAAACAGCTGCTCCCCATCCCCTGCAGGGGAAAAGCCATAGAGCTGGTGGAAGCACCCTGTGGGCTGGGTCTGGCCCACGGGTCATGATGATGCAGCAGGATAAGGCAAATGATACCAAATATTTTCCAGGGACAAGTTCTGTGTCAGGATGAAGTCAAAAGGATATAACAACTAACAGTGTTTTGCTTTCTTTACAAGTCTTCAGTGTAGTACTCTAAAATCAAGTCCTGTGGTATCATTTTCCACAGAAATGGTTCCTGTAGCCTTTGGTAAGTGTCAGGAATATTGTTATGCTTCTAGCACAGACCAAGACAGGATGACTAAAAAGCAGATAAACTACTTCTAATATGTATTATCTCACTTTGTTTAGGGAAAGCTGTACGTCAGCTGAAGCACATTTAGATTAAAATAACACAAATATTGGAGAGTTGAAGAGATGTATGAAAAGAAATTTAAAAATATGTCTGGGCAGCAACTGCATATAGAAAATAGAAGCACCTTATATTTTTAAACCCAGGGAAATGAAAGAAATTATTTTTAAAAGCAACATATACTTATTAAAGAAATGGGCCAGCTTGTTCTTACAAGGGAAATTGTGTCACCCTGATAAATCAGTACTCCAGCTGACACTAAACTAAACAGAGCTCTGTGTGAACATGCTGCAAACAATCCTCTGCTTATAAGGCAGAGGTGACCTAGAAGCCATTCCCTTAGTTCTCTGTCCCACAAGTGAATGAGAACTGACTTGTAACAGCCTTTAGGGGAGCACTTTCTAGATACTGCAGTTGGAACAAGACTATTCTGTATTGTAAATGAGAGAGCTTAGGCTACAATTAATGTCACTGAGTTTTACAGTATATCGCTGGTAGTACAAGGCATGGACTACAAGTTTGCAAATCCAAAAGGAGGCTTATAATTTCATACATGATTCTATTTCTTGTAATGGCCTTACTAAATCTTACAAGTTTTGACCACGGAAAAAATGTAATATTCCTGTGACTCTTCAGTTAACATGCACCCCAGTCCTGCAAGTTACCCTTTCATTGCACAAGGGTCTGCTTTATATCTTTATTACCTATATCATTGGATATGATCCGATTGGAAGGAACCTCTTGGATCACTGACTGACAGCCCCCATGTCACCCAGGGTCACATAATCGTGTTCATATGTGTCTCAGTCACCACCTTACTATACAGTTTGCCCCTGCTACTCCGATATTGAACACTATCACAGGCTGTCAGCTCTTTGATGACTGGGAAACAGTTGCAGGAAATTTGTATGTATAGTTCTGCCTTACCATCATGGAACACCTATCTTGTTTTTCTTTTTTATAACCTGTAATCTTGATTTTGTTTTGTAACCTGCACCTCAGTTTTAGTGCATTGGTTTCAAAGTTTACTGTTTTCCTGAGAAATAGAACTCTGGCAAATCTGGGGAGGTCTGTACACTCTTTGCTGAGGGAATAGGGCCGTGCTGCTCTTCTACCTTGCACCAGAATCAGCATTGTCAGTAATGGGACTAAAAGCCCCAGTCAAAGTTTAGGTCTCTTCCTGACTGCCGCAGTTCTTTTCATCCAGGATACCTTGTCAGCTGTCATAGAGAAGCTAATAATATTCTCCAGAATGTTTTTCACTCATCTGTAAGTTTGGTACTGTATTTCACTATTAGTATTTTAGTTACAAAATGTGATGATGCAAATATCCCAAACTGTCAGCTTAAGACTGCAGAAAACCAGAGGTGGAGAGAGCTGAGAGTAAAATGCCCGAAGGTGTTGTGGAGGAGAGATAGGCTACTGGGAAGGAGGGACAGGCAGCTTTTGGAAGAACCAAGTTTTAGTGGACTGGTGGCTCCAGGAAGCCCTAGGGAAACTTGTGTTAATGTTGGTTCCACATGTGTATAACCTGATCTGTGAACCAGCATTTTTCCCAGCTAACTCTTAGGTTATATTTGTGAACAAATGGCATTATTAATAAGGCAGTTAAGTTTCATAACCAGTATTTATTATTTTTTTCTTTTTTTTTTTCCCCCTCCTTTACTGTATAGTCCAATTGAAATGAAACGTTGGGAGAGATTTACTCAAGTCATAAAGCACAGTACCTTGCAAGTAGTCTCCAAAACCCTTCAAGCTCTCTGAACAGTGTGGGGGTGGTCCTCCTAGAGATTTGTCATATCTGAAATATAAACTTTATAAAGTCCAAGGAAGGGATTATAGGAACCGTCCCCCCTCTGCCCCGCAAAACACTTCAGTTTGAAGGGCACCAAATACTTTTAAATGTTCATTGTCATGCCAGTACAATTGTCTGGTCTTTAAAAGAGAATGATTCACCCAGGGTTACCCCATAGCACAGTAGTACTTGATCCTCAAGAGCACTGGCAGAGGTGTAGGAAAGACAGGTATTCAGTTGCTGGATTTAGATTTCCCAATTACACAGTTCTCCAGTGTATGGATGGGAAGTGCTGAGAACAGTGTCACATCTTTGTTTCCTTTCTTTAGAGAGGCACCAAGGACTGCAGGTACAAAGAAAGTGCCTTCTCACCATGCAAGGTGGTCACCCTAGGATGAGATACAGGATCTTGAGCTGGCTGCTATGTAGAACCAGAATAGACTTTAACTGTTGCATCAAACAATGAATTTTAGGGTTAAATCTGACTATAGCTTCCAGGCCTCAGAAAAAAGTAAGTAGTGAATAGCATCTGTGCTGCAGGTTCATCAGCACAGAACTGATTTCCAAAAATACTCTCTGCAGAAATATTCTCTCCCCTTCTATCATCTTAAAATGAAGGAGTCTAACTATAGCAGGTTGCACAGCATGAGGCACCTTGTGCATGAAAAACTACACAATTACGAATGTTTGGATTAGTTTATGTGATTGACTGATCATCCTTAAGTACTTTATAATGCAACCATTCAGCAAATTAAGCTCATGTAATGTATCCCTATCAACAAGTAATTTCCTATATGTTTGTTTGCGGTGTTCTCTAGCAGCTGCGTTGTTAATGAAATATGGTGAGTAGATCGTGATTCCCCTCACTTTTTATTTCATAGGTTGGTGAGACCAGATGCAAAAAAGTTTGCACTTCGAAATCTGATCTGAGATCCAATGATTTCAGCATTGTTGGAAGCTTGCCAAGGGATTTTGAATTATCGAATTATGACTGTTATGGGAAGCCCATTGAAGTCAACAATGGGCTCGGGAAATCTCAAGCCAAGAACAACAAGAAGCCTCCTCCTCCCAAGCCTGTCATTCCATCAGCAGCAAAGAGAATTGATCTTTATGCAAGAGCACTGTTCCCTTTTTGCTTCTTGTTCTTCAACGTCATCTACTGGTCCATATATTTATGATAAAACTTTTATTTATTTTTTTCATATGTGTAAAATAATCCCATTTCATTACCCCTTCCCAGTCATGAAGGCCACTGTATGAAATTATTTGCATTTGCAAAGCAATATGTTGCATTTTGATGCCATGCGATTGTACTGAACATATGGCATCTGAAATTTGAATGAAAGCATGACACTGCAATGTCTGTGCTCTGACCAGCGTTGTATATAAATGTACAGCATACATCCTGCTTTAGGAATATATATGAAGGACAATGCATACTACATTATAAAGCTGAATAACGCTCTTCAGTTACTGATAACATACAGAGATTTAAAGTGTTTCTGACAATGAAACTGATGTGCACGTTGAGTATTATTAAAATCAGTATTCTAGTATATGTAGTATTTAACAGCTTTTCTGCTGACTTCCAGAGGAAAAAAAAAACAAACCCCAAACATCTTGTTCTTGTGTAATTTTAGATGGCACTGTTGAAGAAAAAGCTAAGATGTAATTCATATTATTCAGACTTTGTAAGTGAAGGCAGCATCGAATAAGCTGATCTTGTCTATGTGGAAAAATAAAGATCAGAGAATTACTAATTTTGTAAAATCAGCTCATTTGGAAAAACCCCCAACAATTGTATCTATCAAGCAGGCACACTTAAGTGTGTGAGAATATGCTGACAATAAAACATTGGGCCAAATTTTGACTGCTGTTTCCTTAGGCGCAAACTAGATACAATATGCCAAAACCAAACAGTCCACTTTCTAGACTAAAGGCATCAGGAGTTTTGGAGAAACATCAGAAGATGCAGTTCAGTATCAGGTTAGGTTATACTTTTTTACATTACTCTGTCCTCTGGCTTATCTTCTGTAGCGTCTGGCAAGCCTGCAGTACATAAGTCACCATTTTTTGTTGTTGCATTGAATACATCTTACTTGATTTATTTTGTTTATCCCCTTGAAAGCTTTCAGTTTAAACAAACCAGTTGTTGTCAAGACGAAATCCCATTTTTACCACTAATTACACTTTCTTCCGTTTGCCTGTCGTAGCACAGATGACCAAAGCTAACACCTAGCCACCAGTAGAAGTGAAGACATGTCCAAAGGTCTAAGGGGCTGAAACTCTTAAATATATCATGAGCCCTTGTGCCTATGTGTTAATTAATGGCTGCCCTCACCAGCTCATTGATTGGGCTGCTACATTTTGGAGAATAAGGTCCTATGCATGAAACAGTTCTGACAGGAGACTGCTCTCCATTTTCCAGAGGAAACCCTATGACATGGAGGCTACCTAAACATGATCTCCTCGGGGTGCGTAGGGCAGGACCTGTGGTCTCCTGTGGGTGCCAGGGTACATCCCTTCGCAAGGGCAAGTTGGGAGGTGAGGCGCAGCCAAAAGAAAGCTGCTGGTATGTAGGCGTCCGAGTAGCGTGTGTTCCCTGGGAACACAGAGGGACGGGGCCTCAGCCCTTGAGAGCATGCCGTAGAGAAACATGCCTCTGCTTGTAAAGCCGGGGCAACACAGTTAGTTAAAATATGAAAATAAGACAGTTATCACTAACTTGGCAATTCATAAAAGGAAATATGGATTATTGGCTCCTCATAGGCTAGGAAGGGACTGAATTAAATATGTGAAACCTTCCATAGCGCGGAAACAGACACAACCCCGCTTGGTGTGCTACATTTCTAGCTCATCCAGGATGTGTTGAACCAATGCAGGCCACAAGTGGACTGTTGGATCACTTGGCTGTTGCCCACCACATGAATGTTGTCCACGTAGGATAAGCCTGCAGACCAGAAGGTCAAAAGTGGGAATATAAAAAGAGCGAAGCATGGCACGCTGGCTTCACTGGGCACCTGGCGGATCTGCACGTGCCCAGGGTTCTTTCTAACCACTGCCACTATGTGATCAACAGCCTGGTTGCAACGATTCGTGTTTGGGTTGAAGAGATCTGCTCTTCAGAACATGGCCACACGCTTTTCACCAGCTTCCTGGCCACTTTCTCGTGGAGATTTCAGGGAGCCACTTTACCAGGTGGCCGCAGTTTGTCCTTTGGATTCCTTTCTGATCCAAGGAAATGCAAGGGAAATCCCAGATGTTACTGAGTTGTGTTGAACCGGGGTGGGGGGAAAATGATATCTTTAAGCTCTAGTTCAAAGTTTCAATATTTCTGTCTGTTGAAGGTATTTACAGAATTGTCAGAGACTCTTAAGAAGCAATAAGGATAAGTCAAAGAGACGAAAGAAGGGAGGGGTAATTTTTATACCTACAATCAGAGTGCTATATTTATAGACATTATTTATTCTCATACTTGTATTTTTTCTTACAATACTGGAAGGCAAGAAAATAATTACCCTGTGTCAGAAATTATATTAATTTTGGAAGATAATTTTCTTGTTAGAACTCTTATTAAATGATTTATCTGTAATTAATGTCCACATTCTATCTGTATAATCTCAATTATAGATTTTATTGTTAAATTAATCTTTGTTCCTTCTTGCTTTCCTACTTACTTGATGGCTTTTGTGTTTTATCATAAAACATTTAATCAATAATACACTGTAATTGCTTTCCAACTCACACACAGGGAAGCAAAAGGAATGTGTATTGTTAAGATAAAGGTTTTTCATTCATTACAGCACAAAAACTAAGGACAGAAGCAAAGTTTAACAGCAAATTTGGAACAAAATTTAAAATAAAACAGTATCAGCTATAAAGTATTAATTTTCTTTTTACTTACACTAGATAATATTGCAGTATTTGTATTACCTCGGAATATATTAACTTGTCCTACTGATCAGTAATAATTGATTTATTTTATTTTTCTTCTTTCTACTAAAGGTCATTGAGAGTTTTGCATACCATACCACATTGCGGTCCTCCAGCACCCTCTAGTTGTGAAATTCTGCTTGTTGACCGATTTCCAGAATGAGGTGCAAATGTAAAACTGTATAGGCAGTACAGGATGTCACTTGATAGTGATAATATGAAGGGAAAAAAATAGTAATAAATTTAAAATAAATGGACATAAAATCAATGGACAGCTATAGAAACTTACCATGCAGTATGAATTTAAAAACGTAGAAATTACGACATTCAAGTAGTAGCAAAGGTGAGGCTCATGAAGTACACATTAGTAACGCGATTAACTAGTCATGATGTCCGAACAAACTGCATGACGGCAAAATCTGTTTCTGAGGGAGAGACCATCTGTGTTTCAGCTGACATTTACTTTAAGTTCTCCTGTTTACTGGTAGGAGAGTTACACATTCTTGTTCTACCCTTAACATAAACCTCAGCATTTTTTTGGCTCTTAAGCATCGAGGGGTGGTATCCAAATAGTTCATTCCTTTCTTTCATAGTGTTATGGGCTTTTAGATATCTTTCTATTTCAGGATTTTAAAACACTTTCAAACACTGCATCAGGAATTTCCACGGAGAGGAATTAATTAATTTCTTAACTGCATTCACAAATTTAAGCTATACAATAAGTGAGGATGTGACTTGAAAAGTGTATCAGCTGCTATGCGTTAATTCCCTGCTAGGATGTGTGAAATGTACCGTGTGGAGTAATGCACACCTTTCTTTCTCGTGCTGGTTCGACTCGTGTTTGACACCCCGTTTTAGGAACAGCTCTGTAGTGGGTTTTGGCACCTCCTCTTTTTTTTAGTCTTGCGTTAATTCTAGCTGAGGTGGTGTATGTGAGCAGTCCGTCTTTTAAGTGAGGAAAGGAGTTTATTTCTGTAAGTGCAGCGTACAGAAGATTGACCACTTGGAAGCATTGCCAAGCAGCTTTCATTCTTCAAAGTCTTCAAATTGATTTGGACTTGGTAACAGGAAATGTATGGGTAAAAGGAGAGTGTCTTCAGTGCCCTATTAGCCATTAAAGAGAAAGTAGTAACACCGTCTTTTGGGGTAGTTTCAGTGAGTGTGACCACAGAGACAGATCTGGCTGTATAATCATTTCGAAGGAAATGCACTTACAAGTAATCTTTATTTGAAAATACTTCACTCTAAAGAGAGACAGTAACTTACTGAAGCAGTCTGTCATAGCTGTTAAGGTAATCTATTAAGAGACGTTATAATACAGTTGAGACCATCGGCCTCTTCTTCAATTAAAGCAGCTTACTGTTATGGTTATTGGATGACTTGTGCTGAGGATATTTATAGAATAGGTAACAATAAATTATTTATTTCCAAGGGAGTGCAACCTGAATATATGCAATGTCAAGTGATTTTTCAGGCTAAAGAGATAGCTTAGTGCTGAAATGAGTACAGATGTGGTGTGTAGCAGATAAGGGAATGATGGGACACTGTTACTTGATGCTTTGGTTTACTAAATCCAGGACTCGAGAAGATAATGTGGAAAGAAAAAGAAATCCGGATACAGAGAGATTGAATAATAGCTTTGTTTGTGTCTATAATTTAATTTAATGGTATCGAACAATTTCATTGCTCTGTATAGTAGTATCATAAGTTACCTTCTGTTTATATAAATATAAAGAATTAATTTTAAAAAAAGGGAAAATTAAGCTCATCTGTGGTGCCAGAAAGATACAGAAACTAGTTCTTTTCATACAAAGCTCTACACTTAAACAAACAATGGAATATACAGAAAACAAAATGCTGTTTTGAAGACATAAAATTCTCATTGTTGTGGCTTTGTCTATACCATTGCATCAAATCAACCACAAACAATCTGGGCTGCTTCCAGCACTCCCTTGCATTTTGGCTTACTCGGGAAAGTCGCCCGCCCCTCTACCTCCCAGCACCTGCCCTCATTCCATCAGTGGTAATAGTGTCAGCAGACATTTAAAAAAAAGATTACGTGGCAATTTTGAAAGCCTTCTGAAAACCCTACATTGTCTACACCGCAGCCACTAAAATGTCTGCAGCTAATGCAGGCTTATCCAAATTAGCTTTAAACTAGCTGACTGGGGACGGCTGGCAAGGTAGCCATGGTAACGGCGAGCTCCGCCTGGGAAGCCTACCTGCTGGCTTAGGAAATGAAAAAATATACTTTGGTGTTAACCCCCACAACGCTTTATGCTGCCTTGGCTCTTACGCTCCAGCCGTTGGTTTAAAGTTAGCTCGTGTGGGTGTTTACCAGCCTGCGAAATGTAGATGTACGGCTGTATGACGCACTGTGTGCTAGAAGTGAATCATTTCTTCCCACTGGTGATGTGAAAAATGCCCCTGTAAAATATTCTTTCTATGGGTCTCGATGACATACAGGATTTCTGCCATATTTAATTTTGTGTACTGACAAGAGTGTTCACCAGTAGTGCCAAAAATGAAACTCATTTTCCCGAACCAATGCACGTGTAAAAGAATGAGTTGGATTTGCACACCTGAGTGTGGATGAGGTTGCCTCCTGAGTCTAGGTCATAAGACGATCCCTTTTACACATTAAAAGAGCCATTCTGTTTAAAGTCCCTAACTCTAATAGTGGATATTAGGTCGTAACCTTTTAAATTAATTACACGACTAAAGAAACTAGTGAGACTAATGAGACTGACTAAAGTCTTTTTTGGCTTCCCGGTTGTCCGTGGAGGTCAACCCTGGTTTTGAGGGGCACTGATTGCTTTTCAG